TTTGTGGGGTGGCAGGTCGTGCCTCGCGCCTGACTGGCAATTCGTTGCAGTGCGCAGAGTGACACACCTACCGCCGCCCCCTGAACGTCGAGCCAAAAGTGCGTCGATCGTGTGATTTACTTTCTGAGCTCGAAGAGTGCGAGCGTGTCACTCTGAACTCAAGGGCCTCTGCCCTCACCATGGCGAAGGCGTTGCCGCTGCTTGGGGGTACCTCAGCGCTTGTTCACAACCGTTTGTGAGTGTTCTGGGCTTGGGATTACGGGGTAGGACCTTTCGAGTTTAAGGGCTTTGGCTCCATGCCACCTCAAGGCAGTTCAGGGCAATTGTAAGTGTACAAGCATCCATATCAAGGCTGCTGACAAGTGATGTAAGGCATGGCTCCCGAAGTATGAAACAGAATGAACTCATGGACACAGATATGAACACCATAGACCTCTGCAGGAGCAGAAAACAAAGTTTACAACCTCTTTAGGGCCTCGCCCTGGCAAATCGCTGCCTGAGGCAGGGACGTGCTCAACGTGCCGGAAGACGCGCCAGATGCCCGCCAACCTTTTTTGTAGCTCTCAGATGGATTTGGGCCTCTGAACCTTGTCCTGGGTCCAAGAGGCCCTAAACCCAAGTCACCCCGGACTTCTGTGTCCCGCGCAGGTGCTCCTCCCGTGCATCCACGTCGCCTGGGACACTTCACTCACGTTCTGAATGTGAGGGCGGCTTACTTCAGAAGGATCAGAGAAATGATTTCAAAGGCAGTTGGGCTGCTCTGCGCTGTGCAGCTGTAAGGTTGATGGCACAGACGTTCAACACAAAAGGGAGAGAAAGTGTTGCTTACTTCATGTACTTTCCTGAAGCCCCACATACCTGAGTCTTGCACAAAGAACTTGTACATTACGCAGCTCATTACAGCTCCAATGTCCCAAACCATGAGCCCCTGCCCCCCCCTGCCCCCCCCCCCCCCCCCCATGCCTGCGCTCTTCGACATGGCCATGGCGGCGGAATTTGTCAGCTCCGCCACGACCTCGGCATGCTAACAAAATACAGTGCTCTAGGCATGTCGGGTAGCATATCTAAGGTCTCCAAACCTTACAAATGCAATGAACCCGAACCCCCCTCCCGAGAGGTGTTGGGGTGGATGGTGAGGCTTGCCTCCCCTCCCCCAAGGAAAGATGTGCGGAGAACTCTCCAGCATCTCTGCAGTGAATGCGTCTCACCATTTCGTCACATAAAATGCTTTTGGGTCGGCTTGGGCGGCTTCGGGCCTGGGGGCGATTTCAAGGGCCTTTGGGCTTCAAACTCTTCAAGTCTGCACCAAACTCTGGCCTATGTCCAACTTCAGAACAACCTCGCATTCACGGGCACTGGGTTCACATTTGCTCGAGGTAAAGGGTCTGGGGTTGTTGGTTGGAGCGGTCAGGGTTTAGGGTTGTGAATTATGCACTGTTTGGTTTTGCCAAACCAGGGGTTGTTGGCGGCAGATTGAAGGTCAAACCAGGGGTTTTCAACGTTTAGATTCCCATCTGCAAATCTTCCAGCTTGAACACCTAGGGAAAGTTGACTAGGAGCCGCCGAGCACCTGGAAAACAGGAATGAGGGCACCACGGGGATCCTGAGCAGAGCCCAATGTGTCATATTGGGAAAGGACACGTTTTATGAGCTTCGTAAAAATCATTCGGGCGTGCCCCCAACCCCCTCCGCACCCTCCAAGACAACGGGACCAACATGATGGATTTCAACTTGTGCAGGCACCAAAGCTTCAGATGGACAGGATGGAAAAGCCTTCGGCTGGAGATTGATGAGGCGACACTTCGCAGAGTGGTCAGATTGGCCACATGATCTGATGTGTGAACAAGTGATTGACAAACCTGCATAGTCTCAACAACGACCCTCCAAATCCTCCCCCAAGCCTAAAGCCCTTTGCACCCCCCCCCGGTACAGGGGACACCAAAACCCTCCCCCACCCCGCACCCCCACCCCGGACCCCCACCCCGGCATCCCACGCGCCCCCACCCACTCCGTAGCTGCGTTAGGTTCACTCCCTCAAGGGATTCGCGGATGCCGGCCACGTCGGCCCAGTTCGCCTGGGCCCCAGGCCCAGAGAACCAAGGGCGCCTCGAAGAAGTCTGCCAGGAGATGTGCAGTGGCCTCGGGAAGCGGGCGGGCCCCTATCGAGTGTGCAGGTGTTTAGGATCAACGTGCACTTAGTGACAAAAAACTTCGTGGCGAAGGTTTCAGAGTTTAGGGGCCTCTTGGGTTCAGAGATTGCGAGATCTGGCTCCCTTCATGCTGGAAGCTTCCGAATGTCCTGTTTGGCGGGTCGTACTCAGTGCTACTCCCAAACCCCGATGTGAACCGAGCATTCTGGATCCACAGCCGAGCCTCCCATGCTGCAATGCTGACCTAGATTCCCACACCACCTGAGTTTTTAGAGGCCTTCACTCTGACTCTAACCACCATTTCAAGCGTTTCTCGGCCATTTGGGGGGTTCACAGTGCTGCGCCCTGTGCAAAACTATGCCTTTTAGATGATACGGGCAGCCCGTGCTGCCGACCCTCGAAAGGGATCGGAGACACCGTGCTCCAAGCAGCTAGTTTGCCCCTTTTTCTGGAGCTTTCTGCGAATAACGGAGCCTGGCAAGGAATAAATTCTCCCAAACGCCACAGATGTTTGTGTCAACCTGAAAAGCTAAAGGAGCCAGCCATCAGAGCAGCATTCGCGGCTTCTCGAAGCCGGAAGTTCTGAGGAAGCGGCCAGACGCAGGGAGTCCTTCATGAACGGCATGAAGGCACTGCCTGCAGCCTCTTGTAGAGCGTCTTAGAAAGTCTAACTTCGTCCAACTTGGGACGGTCTAAAAAACGATTCCAGCATATCCGTTTTTTGAATATTGGTTATGAGATATACAATAAGGATGGGCATTAGTGCTTTTCCTAACAATCCATTGTTAATGAATCAAGTTGGTGGATTTGATTCATTTACATGGTTGGATTCTCAAAGAAGCAATTGGAGTTCACTGTCGGGGGAGCTCCTTCATCGCCCTCCGAGGGAGCTTGAGTCCCTTCTGGACACACAGACATCACAGAAACCTCGAAAGCCTCAGAGCGAAAGGCAAGTTTCCTGCCTGCATGCCTAGGTGCAGCGAGTAGAGCATCCACAGGCCTTAGCTTGGCTTATTCACAAAAGTCTTGCCAGGCGAAAGATGGGGCTACAGCCACAAGGTGTTCCATGCAAGGCTTCGAGAACATCGGTTTGGGGTAGTCGGATGAGCGTGGTCCATTGTTCAATCGTGCCAATTCTGCGCTTCCGGCTCAATAAGCTTCCGCAACTGCCTGGTGCTGGAGCACTCTCATGTGAAGTTTGTGGGTCAACCTGACAAGGAGGACGTGCAGCCGCTTTATGCAAAGCGGCCTGCTTGAGGAAGGCTTGAGTAAAACCCTTAGGATCCTGCGGCCTTTCGCGAAGCACTCTCTGGGTAGCCAGCGCACTGGCTGGGCCGTCTCCTTTGCCAACTTGAGCAGAGCCGGCACCTTCCCAGCAAAGGACCCTTTGCTTCTGAATTTGGACATGTTTGCAGCAGGCTGTTTGGAGAGGTGAATCAGGGCTTGAGCAAGGCTTTGGTTCATAGGGCTACGGCTCGAGAGTTCCTACATCAAGCCGAAACGCTGTTCGAGTTTGGGCCCATCTGGTGCAGAAACGTGAAGTATTCCAGATACTCCAAGATTGAACGAATGGGCACTGAGCTCGAGCACTCCGAGCCCCTCTCCAACATGCACTCAAACTCGGTTTGCCCGTCTGAGGATCGAGCATTCTTAACGCTTGGCAAGACTCCGCACAACAAGGGAGTCAAGTCCATAAGCCGAACAGACAGGATGCGCGGAACTTTCATGGAACCATGTGAAGATCAGCGGTGAGCAGTTCGGCCAGGCCACGATGCTCATGATGTAGGGGCAGTGGAAGCCTCCAACACTGTGGTCTCCTTGCAGAGAGGCTTTTGAGAAAGGGGCTCGTGGCATTGAGGCTTGGAATGTAGAGATTTAGGGATAAAACGCTAAGTCCTAAGCCAAGAGCCAAACGCTCAAACCATGAACCGGAGCATAAAAAGCCCGCGTCCCGGAATCTCGCGCAGCGGAGTCTCTTCCCCCCACCAAACAATCAAAAAACGCCATCCGAGGATGCCGAACCAAAAAGCCAAAAACAGCCCCACGAAGAATGCACGTAAGGAGATGCCTGCATGTGCAGGTGTGGAGATCCACAAAGGTATCTCCTAGGACCTCTGAGGTCGGGCACAACCCTGCACCTGCTGAGCTGCACCGCGTTGTTATCGAAGTCAAGTTCGTTCTCGCACATGCAGCCCTATACGCACCAACACGCAAACAACGGCCCGGGCCGCCGAGGTAGTTGCAAGTACAAGACGAAGGAACCCAAAGTCTAGAGACGTCCAACCAGCATCTCAGCCCTTTTGCAAAACGCGCCTCCAGGGCTCAGGACCTTCCAGCCCCAGGCGAAAGACCGAAGGACCTCAGAGGTCGGAGTTGGGCAAAGTGGAGCTTTAAGGATGCTTCAAGTGCCTTCGCGTTATGAGTGACAGTTTAAGACCTTGAAACCCCCTTTCTCCCCCCCCCCCGCCCCCCGAAACTTCAGGCGCCAGAAAAATCAGACAACTTCGGAAAACAAGACAGGATTTCTGGCAGCAGACCAGGCAAGTCCACAAGAGCAGCAACCTCAGAAAGCAGAATAAACACGTTCGGAACCCTGCGGAAGGGTCCAAACCCTAAACTCCTGCACTTTAAACATGCACACTAGAACCCCGAAGTCCAGCTCTCAAGCGAAAATCAAAATCAGCAACATTTATTGTACCTTAATTATCCGCAGCCCTATAAAACAATGCCAGAAAACAGCTCGAACGGTTGCATGCGGCCTGTCGCATTCACTTTCGACCTCATGTGAAACCAAGTGCGCACTTGTTCTTTTCGGTGGGTTTTTGGGTCCGTGCGCTCCTTGGTACCTTGGGCTTGAAAGCGTGTGACATCATGCTTGATGAAGACGGCATTGTCAGGCGTTCGGAGCGGTGCTGTTCGCAAACAGGAGACATTCATTCGATTGTCCCAGACACGGTTTCGCTCCAACAAGAACTTCAGGCCCCCCAGGTGCTGGAGCCTCTGTCTGTTGTACTTCTACGGGTCCTCGGCGCAAGATCATTGCCATCACTCCTCAGTCCCACATTACTCTTCTGGCCAGGCCCAGCCGGTCCACCACATGACAGTTTTCACCCAGACTTCCGGAGGTAAGGCGGGGATCATCAAGCTCTGAAAGCTACTGCAAAAGCAAGAACCGCTTGGTCCCGCTCCGCAGTCTCCAGAGTCCGACAGAGAAAAGTTGCTGCAAAAGGAAACCCAAGAGGAAAGCCAAGACAAGAGGAAACCCAAAGAAATCCAAGGAAACCCAAGGAAACCCAAAAGGAGGCATCATCATCGTCTCCCCCCTATCTCTCGCCAGCCGGGACCCCAGCGCAGCCGCAGAGCAGTGCCAGGGCGGAGCGTTCACGCAGCTTCTCCTCCTTGTCCTTCCTTAAGAGCACAGTTGTTCGGTGGCTTTTGGCTTAGGCAACTTCGAAAGTTCGGGGATTGCCTTTTTGACAGGTTCTCAAAGGACTTCAGGGCGGATTCAAAGCTCAAGAGCTCAGAAGTTTAGGAGCTAAGGAGCTACTGTAAGGCAGCTCAGGGCTTCGTTGCATGGCCTTGCTTCTGTACCTTCTGAGGAGCAGAAGCTTCTGCTTCTACTTCAGGTTTCCATGGGGTCGAAAGAAAAGCACCAAGAGCACCACCAAGAGCTGCAACTATCTTTCCGTCACCACTCCGAGTGCGAGGCGAGTCTGAGCCCTGCAGGCCATCCGCGGTAAGGTGCTGGAGGATATTCGGAACGATCTCGGTTAGAGTTTGGGGTTTAGGGTTTGGGGTTTAGGGCTCAGGGTTTAGGGCTCAGGGTTTAGGGCTTAGGGTTTAGGGCTTAGGGAGACCAAGTTTGAACAGCGTCTGCACCGCTTTTCTCGAACTTGCGAACTTGGGTTGTCCCTCTTTGGGAATCCATGTTCCTGTGATGTCGTGTGCCATTGAGCTGCTTCACACGTTCTCCCGTTGTGCGTCACTTGCCTCTTGTTCACTTGGTCAAGGTTCGGGGCGGTTCGTTTGCCATTCCCACTCCCTCCTTGCATTTTCTCGCAGAATTGGGGCCCCCGTCACATAAGTAGACCCAGTTCGATCTCTCTTTCGAAGTCTCACATCGGAAGTAGACTCGGGCTTCATGGCGTCGTTGCACTTCCAGCAAGGTGTCAGGGCCAAGGAACCGGTGAGTCTGCGAGCTGATGGTGCGAGAAGAACAGCAGTGCCAGGATCTCGGCGTGCAGCCGCCGGAGAGCCTCAGAAGGCATGTGGGGGTCAGGGCTTCGAGGGCTTCGAATCCTGAACCCAAGTCCTCAACGCGAAGCTGAAGATCGGGATGAGCCGTAGGGCACATGAGGTGTCAGGATGGTGTGCAGCACCCGGGTACAAAGCTTCCAGGATTAGGGGTTCATGGGCCCCTCGGCAGCTGTAAGGCACGGCACTGTTCTTGATGCGCCCCAACCGCGGCCTTCTCAAGGTTTGAGGTTCATCATCTTTGCTTCTACGGTCGAACTCCCCCAATCCTCAACCCGCGAAGTTGCAGGACTGAGGGCGAACCCGATGCTAGGTCCCAAACCGGATTGCTCTCCTTGAGCCCGGCAAGTGATGACTGCAGCACCTGCAAAAGAGCTCCCCTCAGCTCCTAGGATGTCTCTAGGCATGCCCAGCACCCTAACTGCTATGGAGGTTTAGAGCAGGATTGTAGGGAAATACTCATTCGGCAAAACCAGTCAATCCCTCATTCAAAGTCCCACGTTCATCGTGGACACTGCGCACTTAAATCACAAAACTCACTGCCTTTCAACGAACCGAATCCCTAAAGGACTGAGTCGAACTCGACAGGCAAAAACAAGCTGCGTGAGTTGCAGTCAGGTCTTGAAAGCCAGTTATCCCCCGATGTGCTCAACTCTAAACTTGAAGCCCCTAAACCTTGAAAAGCCTGCTCCATTGCCGGCGCCGGCGGTGCTGCCTGAAGTCCTCTCATGCGCACGTGCTCGCCTCAGATCGGAGCAATTCAGGGGAGCTTCTTATGGATTTCGATACCTTGCGCAGGATTTTCCAGCGTAGGGTTTTGCACGTTTTGGTGATCCAAGCTCTGTTATCGGTTTTTTCGGAGGTGGAAACAACATGCTGTCAAAAACTTAAATGTACCTCGAAGCCATTAAAACGTTGTTGCAGAGAGCCCTGGTCACCAAAACGCCCCTGGCGCGCCAAAACGCGCCATCCACCAAGCCGAAGTATAGAGAGTGTGTTGATTGTCATTGATGTTTGACTATTGATTTGCTCATGCCTCTCGACTTGTTGATGCATGTTGAATGTACTATACACTCCGCAACTCATTCACGACCGGTCCAGCGCTACGAGCTTCCATTTCCTTACTGCTGACTGCAATATCGCAAGAAACAGCCATGGCGAACCACAGACAGGAAAAGGAGACCATCTGCACTACAGCAGAGGCAAGCCCCAAACTTCAGAACCGTAGGCCTCAAGCCTGCACAAGATGTGCCTCGAAACGTACAAATGTGCCTCCGGGACCTGCAACAGCCCTTCAAAGGCCGTTGAAGAGACCGGACTGGGTTCTGTTCACAAGTACTTTTGAAGGTCTGCTTTGCGTGTTACCGGGTGTTTCTGCTGGCCCGAGCTCTTTTCAAAGGCGGTTAAAGGCGATGTAGAAACATTTTGGAAGCCCTGCACGCTTCGAAGCGCTTTGGCATCCCGTGACTTTCAAAGGCTTTAGCGGCTTTTGTTCTTTTGTGCCCCAGGCTGGTAGCTCGACATCTCTCTAAAAGCGTTTCCGAGGCTTTTAGAGGCGGTGTCCGGTGCATTTGCGCGCTGCACGGGCCACACATGAACCAGCAAAAGACTGAGCTACCGTACAACATATGCTTGTGCCAACTCCTGCCCCGGCGATTGAAGAGACAAACTTGACAAAGGCCGGGTTGGCGACTAGTAGGAACCAGACAACAATCATATGTCGTCTGAAAGTGGCCAAAGTCCAGCTGAACACTTGGTGGCGCACGAAGATATGCCAAAACCTCGACAACAGGTTCGGAGGAAGGCAGCGCAACATCCCACGTTGCAATCTTCCATCCTTCTGCTGCCCTTCAAGCCCTCAGCCAGAAGCCTGTGAGTGTGTGAGGGATTGCTCTGGGCATCTCTGGGCTCTGATGACAGCACAGGGCCACGAGCCCTGTGCGCAGCATTTCGGGGGTCGTGAGAGTTCAATGGCGACTAAGCCTTCTTCGGGGCTCATGAAGTCGCCCCCTCCCCTGCACCACACCAAACCGGAAACTCCTCTGTCCCGAGGTTGCTCTTATCGGGCCTCCTTAAGGGGCCTCAAAGTGTGAGCTTCTTTTGAGAACATAAAAGAAACCCCCCTGGCTGGGTTCGCCCACCGCGATGGAGGAGGTCACCTGCAGCTCCGGCTGCGTGGCCACCGCGCTGCCTCGCTAAACGGGCTGAATGCATTTGCAAAGAAAGCTCTGGCAAGTTTCGGGCTGTGGAGAGAGCCTCAAAACATCAAGGCCATCAAGGGTTTAGGGTGTTTTGGGCTTATCACGGTTTTTTAAAGGGCTTGTGTGGCACAAGGCTCGTGGGGCTCAGTGTCCTCCAGGCAGGTGAGAAAAACTGTGGGGTTTGGAAAGGAGCAACAACTGTGCCCTGAGACCTGTTCTACAAACCTAAGAGGGTCCAGTCCAAAAGCAACACCCTGAATACAGCGTGTTCCGAAGCCTCAATCTCAACTGCAAGCCCTCACCCATGGCAACCCCCTGCACACTCTGTTAAAGGTGCTCAGGTGTCAAACCTGCAGGCCCAACCCACTACCTTAAACACGGCCTGCTGCAAATGCGTCCAACGGTCCCTGCAGGCAGCTGTGGCCCAGCAAATGCCCAGCCCGTTCCCCGTCCCAGTGGGCCATCTTCCGCGGTGTCTCGGCGCGACTTGAGCCTTGGAACCGCTCAAACAAAGTAGAGGAGCACGGCTTTTTGCAACCATACCGGCTCTGGCCAATATGGCTTGGGCGTTGGCATGGCTTCATTCTAGAAGGGGGGCTGTGGGAGGCGCAGCCTTCCCTCCCTTCTTTTATTAGTGTCGGTGTAGGCCTTTCACCTTGCTGGCTAACTTGAGGTCTTGCTAATTAAGTTTGTCCAGATGAAGCAAGCATTCAAGCAGGGCAAACCTGTCCCGGATCTAGAAGCATCATGGTGCGTTACGTCTATCCAAAACGGCCCTAGGTTTGCTCCCTACGTCTGTTAGTGTCCCAGGGGGCAAGGGGGATTCTTTTACGCCTGGCGCGCGCCACAACCCTAAACCTGCAACCCTTTGTGGGTCCTCCATAAGCCCTGCTGCCCACTGAAAGCATGGGATGGCCAACAGCCGAGCTGCAAATGCTGAAGGACGGCGGCCCGCGGATTCTCGCCCACCTGGCGCTCTCTCTGTATTCAGCGAACTACTGTACTAAGAGAGCCTTCCTTATGAAGCTAAAAGTCTGTTTAGCAGGGCTGAGGGAGGAAAGTGCCGAGCTTGGGCAGCCCTTCCTGGACATCCCCTTGGCCCGCCCAAGACCACAAAAATCTGGCTCGCTGCATCGTTTCGCTACTGAAGATCCATGATGTGGATGCTGGACGGAATAGACGGACTGAGCCTCATGGGGTATTGGGGCTTTAAGGACTTCAGGGTTTGGATCGGCTCGCGTCTCCAAGTGAGGTCTCAGCTTTTGGCTCCCCATGCTCCAAGGTGCGGCTTTGGCATTCGGTGCCAAGACTGAAAAGAATGCAAACGACTTCCGAAAGATGTAGCAGGCGTATGCTATTTGTGACAGTAGTGCTATGAGGCATGGCCGGGGTGCAGTCTGACACCAGTGATCGGCCTTTTCAAGCGTCTTGAAGCCCCACAAACCACGTGCAGACTAACCGCCAAAACAGACTTGAAACCTCCGCACCCTGCACCCATTTCCCTTGACTCCTGGAACCCTGGGAAGCAAGGGGAAAGGCCTCTGCTGCATTCATGATGATTGAGAGCAGCTTTACTGAACTGCACCGCCTCCACTGCAACACAATCATGGGGTATGGCACGTTCGGTCTCAAGCCATCTTTGCTTCCACACCTAAGGCTTCTTGTGTCAAAAGTATGGATGGGTGCACTTTGGCTGGGATTTGGTGCGTTGTGTTCACCAAGCGTCCGCAAGCGTCCGCAAGCGTCCGCAAGCGTCTGCAAGGCAAGCGTTCGCGAGTGGCGTCACGCGCGCTGTTAAGGGGGAACTCCACAGGACGTGTGTGGTCAAGCTAAGGGGGAACTCCACAGGACGCGTGTGCCGTTGCTCTTTTCCGCCTGCGCACCGGCACTTCGTTCTTATTGCATTTTTTGCATTATATTGGCGTTCTACGTGACAGGTTCCTGCATTCGGGTTCGTGGCTCCTATCAGGTTGTCATTTTTTCATTAATTGCCATTCATGCTTACTAGTTAATTAATTTTTGTTTTAATTAATTTGGATTGATTTTAATTAATTTAAATTCACTTTAATCAACCAATTGTAATTAAACGAAAAGCATTAGAATTCTTGAAATGATTTCAATTGTCGTTAGTTTTTATGTTGACGATTTTCATGATTCTTAATCAGTTTTACTTAATTTTAATTAGAATACGTATTTTGAAGCTTTTTAAATGCTTTGAAAAAAAATAAAAAATAATAATTAATTAAAATTAATTAAAATTAATTAAAATTAATTAAAATTAATTAAAATTAATTAAAATTAATTAAAATTAATTAAAATTAATTAAAATTAATTAAAATTAAATTAATTAAAATTAAAAAATTAAATTTAAAATTAATTAAAATTAATTAAAATTAATTAAATTAAATTAAATTAATTAAAATTTAAAATTAATTAAAATTAATTAAAATTAATTAAATTAATTAAAATTAATTAAAAAATTTAAATTAATTAAATTAATTTAAAATTAATTAAATTAATTAAAATTAATAAAATAATTAAATTATTAAAATTAAAAATAATTAAAATTAAAATTAATTAATTAAAATTACTAAAATTTAAAATTAATTTAAAATTTGTTAAAATAATTAAAATTAATGAAAATTAATGAAATTAATAAAATAATTAAAATTACTTAAAATTACTTAAAATTATTTAAATTATTAAATTAAAAAATTAAATTATCTAAAATAACTAAATTAATTAAATTAAATAAAATACTGAAATTAAAGAAAATTCATTAATCTGTTTTACATTTTGGCTAATTTTAATTAATTTTAATCAATTTCAAATTAATTTAACTAATGTTAATTAAGTGTGATTGATTGTAATTAATTGTAATTCATTTTAAAATTTTTGCTTATTTTCATAATTCTGATAATTTTCATAAATTAGAATTAATTTCAAAAAAACTTTAACTATTTTTTTTATATTAGTAATTTTCATTCATTTTAATTTTTTTGATTCATTTAAATTCATTTTAATTTTATTTTAATTCATTTTAATGCATTTTAATTCATTTTAATTCCTTTTAATTCCTTTTAATTCATTTGAATTAATTTGAATTAAATTTGAATTAATTTTAATTAAGTTTAATTAAGTTTAAATTAAGTTTAATTAAGTTTAATTAGTTTAATTTTAATTACTTTCAATTACTTTTAATTACTTTAATTAATTTAAATTGATTTTATTGATTTTAATTGATTTAATTGATTTTAATTGATTTTAATTTGATTTAATTGATTTAAATTTATTTAAATTGATTTTTAATTGATTTACTTGATTTTACTTAATTAATGTTAATTAATTAATGTTAATTAATGAATTTTTTAAGTTAAGTAAATTTTGATTAATTTGTAATTAATTTTTAATTATGTTAATTAATGTTAATTTTAATTTTTAATTAATCTTAATAAATTTAAATAAATTTTAATAAATTTTAATTTTAATTTGAATTAATTTAATAATTTTAATGAATTTTATAATTTTGATTAATTTTGATTAATTTTTTACTAATTTGTTGATTAATTTTGCTTAATTTTGATTAGTTTTGATTACTTTTATTAGTTTTAATTAATTTAATTAATTTTTTAATTAATTTTAATTAATTTTAATTAATTTAATTTAATTTAATTCATTTTAATTCATTTTAATTAATTTTAATTATATTAAATTATTATATTTAATTATTAATTATAATATTATAATTAATTATTAATTAATTATAATTAATAATTAATTATAATTAATATTAATTATATTAATTATAATTCATTATAATTAATTTTAATTAGTTTTAATTTATTTTTAATTATTTTTTAATTTTTAATTAATTTTAATTATTTTAATTTATTTTTTTTTTAATTTCAATTAATTTTTAATTAATTTTAATTAATTTTAATTAATTTTAACTAATTTTAATTAATTTTAATTAATTTTAATTATTTTTTATTAATTTTGATTAATTTTAATTAATTTTAATTAATTTGAATCAATTTTAATCAATTTTAATTAATTTTTTAATTAATTAATTATTTTTGACCAGAGTTGGTCGGAACTTGGTCGGAAAAATCGGCTTCCGACCAACTTCCGACCAACTTGACCCGAGTTGGTCGGACAAATCGGTTTTCGGAAGTTGGTCGGAAAAATCGATTTCCGACCAACTTCCGACCAACTGAAAAAATACGGAGCCCAGAAGTGGTTTTCGTTGATTTTTTCGCACGCGAGCCTGACGCAACTAGTTCTGCAAAAAGGTGTCCCAACCACTTCTGGGCTCCTTATTGTTAAGCAAACCACTTCTGACAACTTGTTTTGGTTGCCCCAAACCACTTCCGGCCGCCTTATTTTGGTGGGCTCGGCTGCCCGACCAACCGCCCGCGCCAGCAAATTTCATCAACCAACCAGCTTTTTTTTTCTCCGGCATTTTTTCTCTCCGAAATTTTTGCGGCCAACGTGTGGTTTTTTCAGGACGTCAAAGTACGCCCTGCCCCGCCCTCCCCCCCCTACCAACATGGTGGAAGAATGTCAATTTTTCCACGAGCTGGACTTTTCCCGGCAGCCTTCCACGGAGAAAAAAATCCCGCCTGTTTTCAATCAAAAAAAAGAAAAGAGCAACGATCCAGCCCCCAATTTTGGTACCGCCAACTTTTGGCTGTCCGCCCTCCACGAGCAGCAACTTTTCAGGCCACAGCAAATTTGTGCCTCAGCTCGCTCTCTCTCTCTCTCTCTCTCTCTCTCTCTCTCTTCCTCTCCCTCTCCTTCGCTCTCTTTCTTTTTTATTCCCACTGGGCACTTCGCATTGTGTTCGCAAGAGGAAAACTCAAAATCTACATGCCCTGACTAATCTGGAGGGGCTTATTTTGCCGCCAAAAGCTATTGAAACCCTTTAGGTAGGGATTGGAAAAAACAGCGCTTGCAGACAAGGCTTTCGACACGGTTGCAAAATGGTGGGTTCGAACACGCAAACCACTTCCAGGCGCGCTATTTCTTGGCACAGGCTAAAAACAGCATTTGTGCAAGTTAACAGCCTCGCACTCACGCACACACATGTTGGCTCACGCGCATGCGCGCACACGCACCATTCACGCCCCATTCACTGAGACTAGACACATCCACCATTCACTTAGACACATGTACCGTTGCACTTACTCACACGCACACGCACCATTCACGCACCATTCACTTAGACACATGCACCGTTGCACTTACTCACACACCATTCACTTCTTCACTCAGGCACCATTCACTTACTCACTCACGCACCATTAACTCACGCATCACGCACCATTAACTCACACGCACAGACGACACAGGTGTCGTTTGTGCTGGCAGGCGCAGCACTTGGGGGTTCCGGGCCGTGGGGGGCTGGGGGGCTCGCTTCGCGCTGGCAGGTGGCAGGCGCAGCACTTGGGGGCTCTGGATCGGGCCTGCGCGTGCGTGGGGGGCTCGCTTGGCGTCAGGCGTCGCAGCACTTGAGGGCCCTGAACGGGTTTCGCACACCCCCCTGGGGGCTTGCTTCGCGTTGGCAGGCCCGACACGCGTGTCGTTTGCGCTGGCAGGCGCAGCACTAAAGGGCCCCGGACCGGTTTTGCGCGCGCGGGGGGCTCGCTTCGCGTTGGCAGGCGCAACACGGGCGTCGCAGCACTTGGGCGCCCTGGACAAACGCGATTGCGAACGCACCAAATAGTGCTCGCAAGAAGCGCGGCAAAACTATCCGCCAAGAGCCGACGCCTTGACTCTGAATGAATATCGCAAACATTGAAGATGAGACTCCGCTCTGGCCCAGCTTTTCTCACTAACGCGTGCCACGGGAGTCGAGCGTCGCTGCCGCAGTTGTGCCTGCTGCAGCCCACCAGCTCATATTTGTTCGCAGCACTTGCATGACGACCTTGCTAGACAGTTACTGATCAGACGATGCCTTCACGGAGTCAGGGAAATTGACAGCGTGCGCTTACCGTGGCCTACGTTGAAACGATCGTGGTAGACGGTGTTGAGTACCTAGTATCAGCCAGGCCTCGGGTAGCCGGACGGGACGCTACGGTTTTGCATGCCATGACCGCCGCGACGGTGCTTCTGAGCTATCAAGCGAGTGGTCAGTATTTGCAGAGATGCGGCTTGCCGCCGACGGCACACGAGGTTCTCGTGGATGTCTTGACCGACACACGCGCTTTGCGCGCGGGATCCTCGTTGCGATACCCGTCTTTGTTCGCATTCCCACGGGCCAGAAGTATACATGTCATGAATAGGACGGGCACACGCTGCTTTGACTTTGAGAGCAATTGGACTCCTTTTCACGCGAGTGAGGGCGCTCAGAGAAAGCATGCCTACCCTTTCGAAGAACAGCGGCGCCTGGCAGGATTCCTGGTCCTAGTCGAGCTTTTGCAAGCGCGTCTCGCAAACGCGATTGCGAGACGAAGCAAACTCCTCCAGCAATAGAAATGTCGCTGCCGCAGTTCTGCCTCCTGTAGCCCTTCAAACTTCCTCATTTTCCTGTGATAGGTCTGCCGTGACAGGTCTCCCCAGCTCGCTGACAACATGCTGGATCTCTGCCCTGACGCCGTCACAGGTCCAATTGTGGCCGACAATCAGCACCCACTGCTCCTACTGGTTCAGGAGGAAGAATGCCTCAAGCATTGAAGCTTCAGGCAGCTGTTGCCGAGCTTACAGCCAACTAGCGCTGATCGCAGCCTGCCTGAGATGTCGCTGAAAACCCGCTCCCGCTTGCCGGATGACAAAAGAACCCGAAACTCTTCATTGCCCTCAAGCCCGAAACTGTCGCCCTGAATCCCACGCCTGGACACTAGCAAAACTGCGGCGAAGGACACAGCTCGCACTCACTCACTCACTCACACTTATGCACTCACTCACACTTACGCGCTCACTCGCCCACTCGCTCACTCACTCACTCGCTTACTCCCTCGCTCACTCACTCATATTCACTTATACACTCTTTGTGAAAAGATAAAATACACATGTGGGGTTATCCGGTCCTTTAATTAGTTTTAATGAAAATTAATTAGTTTAATTTATTTGAATTAATTAATTGGTTTCAATTAATTTTAATTAATTTTAATTAATATTATTTTACCTTAGTTCATTTCAGATGTTTTTAACTAATTTTCATTAGTTTTACTTTAACAGTTTTTGATAATTTTAATTAATTTCAATTAATTTTAATGTTAAGCTATTTTCAATTATACTAAGCTTTTGTTTGAATTTTCATTAATTTTGAATAATTTTGAATATGTTTGAAGAATTTTGGTTTCGTGTAATTTGACGAATATTGGTGAATTTCGATTAGTTTTTGTGAATTTTGATGAATTTTGATGAATTTTGATGAATTTTGATGAATTTTGATGAATTTTGATGAATTTTGATGACTTTTGATGACTTTTGATGACTTTTGATGACTTTTGATGACTTTTGATGACTTTTGATGAACTTTGATGAACTTTGATGAACTTTGATGAATTTTGGTGAAGTTTGATGAACTTTGATGAATTGCAATAAATTTTGATGAATTTTGATGAATTGAAAATTGATGTAGACGAATTTTGTTTGTTTTTGATCAATTTTAATTTATTATAATTTTAGCGGCTTAAAAATACATCTAATTTTTTTCTAATTTCATGAATTTTAATGAAAATTCATTGTAACTGGTTTTAATTTAGTTTAGTTACATAATTAGTTTTTATTACTTTTACTTAATTTTAACCAACTAAAATTAATTGAAACTAATTAAGAATTACGTAAGATGAAATACAGTTAAATAAAATCAGTTTGCTTTATACTTACTTTGAATCAATTTTAATGACTGCTTCTAATTGATGTTCATTAATTTTCATTAATCTTCATTAATGAATGTTCATTAATATTCATGAATTTTCGTTCATGAATTTTCGTTAATTTTCATTAGTTTTCATTCACTGTCATTCGCTGTTATTCATTGTCGTTCACTGTCATTCATTGTCATTCATTGTCATTCATTGTCATTCATTGTCATTCATTGTCATTCATTGTCATTCATTGTCATTCATCGTCATTCATTTTCATTCATGTTCATTCATTTTCATTCAGTTTCATTCATTCTCATTCATTCTCATTCATTCTCATTCATTCTCATTCATTTTCATTCATTTTCATTCATTTTCATTCATTTTCATTCATTTTCATTCATTTTCATTCATTTTCATTCATTTTCATTCATTTTCATTCATTTTCATTCATTTTCATTGATTTTCATTCATTTTCATTCATTTTCATTCATTTTCATTCATTTTCATTCATTTTCATTCATTTTCATTCATTTTCATTCATTTTCATTCATTTTCATTCATTTTCATTCATTTTCATTCTTTTTCATTCTTTTTCATTCATTTTCATTCATTTTCATTCATTTTCATTCATTTTCATTCATTTTCATTCATTTCCATTCATTTTCATTCATTTTCATTCATTTTCAATACTTATTTCTCATTCATGTCCATGAATTTTCATGAATTTTCCATGAGAGCGGGGGGTGGTGAGGGGGGGGGGTGGTGCGGGGGGGGTGGTGGTGGCGGGGGGGGGGTGGTGCGGGGGGGGTGGTGGTGGCGGGGGGGCTGGGGGGGATGGTGCTGAACCCCGGCTCTCCCTCTCGCACAGAAAACCAGGCCCAGAGAACTATCGGAAAACAGCGCTTGATGCAAAAGGAATTTTTGACGTTTCCGGAACAAGGCGCACAATCACAAGCTTTGTGTGACGATGCCCTGCACTCTCAAGTCCTAAACGACCACGAAGCTCACGGTGTGCTGGGCCCAAGGCCAATCCCACTCTGCGGAGAGGCATTGTGGTGCCAGGGCTTGTGCACAGTCACACCAAGCATCCCATGGCCTGTGCTTTAAGGTTTAGTTTAGGGTTTAGGTTTCAGGGTTTAGGATTCAGGGTTTACTGTAAGGTTTATAGGGTTTAGGGAAGGTTCAAGGCGCTCGGGGTGTTGGGGTTCAATGTTCGGGGCAAAGGCTTGCTTCGGGTTCGCGGGATCGACCGCCTTAATTGTTGCCAGGACTGCAGTTGGTTTTGGGAACGTTTACGGAACTCTTCGGAGAACCCATGCTCACATGTTGGTGCTGTGGCTAGGGAGCGCTTTAAGATTCAGGGCTCTTGAGGCAGCGGGAGGGTGACGTGCTCGCTTGTTTCTGTGCTAGTCAGCACTGTCTATGACCATTGAATCTGCATGTTGTTGAGGGGTCAGCAGAAAAATGTATATATGTAAACACGAAGATATATTTACGGGTCACTCTTGGACGTTCACGCGTGACATGGTGGCTTTGGACTTGAGATACCAGGCATTCGCTGACATTAACAAATTGCAACACTCCCGCAAAGTGCCGCATTGAGCGCAATTAACATTTGCAATTCTGTCCAGCCAAAGGATCCTAAAAATTCCTATAGTGCGTTGGATTACGTGGGTGCCGAGGGGCGTCAGCAGGCACTCGGGGCCCCCGGGGCTCTCGCGATGGAGCGAGCCTAGGCGAAGGCAGCTTTGAGACCTTTTGGGAGTAGCGGCCCCCGGCCGGCCTTCGGGTTTGAAGGTTTGTTCGCTGGTGGCGATTGCTCAGCGGACTTAGTCTTTGCTGTCGTTCCGTGCTTACGGAGCTCCACGAACATCGATCCACTGACCAACATGCGTCTGTGGCCACGGCTGAACAAGCACGCCGCCCCGCTGTCCGAGCAAAGGTCCCTGGCAAGGGCAGTTGCTGGCGCATGGTAATTTGTAAGGTTGACCCCGCGTCCTAAACCGATCCCTGCAAGGAATGGTAAACATCGTGTACGGACTGCAAACTTGTGTTACACGCAAATTCATCTCTAATATGTTTGCGAGCGTGCGAAGCAACCGCACCATCAGGGTCTACCTCCTCCGAGGCTTTCAGCTCTTACGAGGTGCAGGCTGGCCCAAAGCTGTCAGGATTGCAAAAAAACTCAAACTAGTTTCAATCAAAACCGATCATGGACACCACGTCCTCACACCCACCCCCCTCATCCACAAACAAGTGGGCGCTGGTTCAGCGCACCGGCGGCTTATGGTGCCGTGGAATGATGAGCTTACCAAGCAAGGTCCAGGTTACTTGATGGCCTTTTTTGGTGTAGTTTCCAGCTAATCCGACACACCGAATGTTCAGCATCTCAAGGCCCCCAACCCAAGTATTCAAAGCCTCCATACACTCCACAGACTGGAACCACCATGCAGACAGGGTGCTCGGCGAAAGGCCCGGCATCCTCACGAAAGCCTCAAAAGGTATCAAATCTAACCGCGCTGCGGGGGTAGGGGTTAGAGGGCGGGTGGAAACTTCCGAATCAGGGCGTTCTGCCCCCGCACACCGTCCCGTCAAGCGCAACACCGTCGCGTGACGGAGGGCGGCCCGCCCCCACCCCCGAACCAATGACTTCAACGACATGATGAACAACTGCCCTGATCCAAACCTGCATCGCCGCTTCGCACGACAGACAGCAGCCGATCGACCTGAGACTCAAAAAGAATCTACAGATGTCTACAGCTTTGGAAATTCAAAGCGTGCAAGCCATACAACGCTAATACAACAACCTTACTGGCACAATCAGTGCTAATGTCCGGGACTTGTCTGGCTGGTATGAACTTGTGCAGGCAGCTTGTGTAAGTTCTCAGGACTAAGCACTAGGATCCCAAACCATTGCTGCTCGTGTCCCGAAACCCTCAAGAGCCAGCATAGTCTGATAGGTGTGAACTGCAAGCTACTGGATCTTGCTCTGTGTCGCAGCGCACTGGGACAAGCAGCCGAAAGGCAAGCCCTGGATCCGGAAGGACCACGGAAGTCCACCAGTAGGGCTTCGCTGCCTTTTGAAGGACTCAAGGGCCCAGACCGCGAGTCTCGTCGTGCTCGCACACTCCCGGCTGGTCCTTGGGTGACTGAGGTCCCAGACAGCACAAGTCGAACTTCTGCTGCAATGCGTGACCTCCTGCGAGAAATTCGATCATGCTTCCAGAGCCCAGACTCAATCCACCCAGAACCCCAAAATACTCCAAAAACCGCGAACCAGTAGGCCCCTTTTGAACCCGGAGATGTCTCAAAACCCCCAACCCCCCCCCCCCAAAAAAAATCTCCGATGACAGGCTCCCAAACCTGCTCCCAGAACTCCCCCACAAAGAGTCAGCCTCACGAAGCCAAGGCACTCCAAGTGGATGTCGACCAAGTCGAGAACCTGAGAAACAAAGAGAAGAAGATTCTGGAGAGAGACAACACAGAGAGCCTTGAAAAAGCACACTTTTACTCCTCCGACACAAAGGATCCCAGAATATGAAAGACAAGCGCGGATCATCCCCTGAACCCTTGAAAACTTCAAAGCTGCGAAACCTCGCTTGACATGAGGGGTCTAGTGACGGCCGTTTAGCCCATCTCAGCCCGGTGCAACGTCTGAGTGGTGCAGGAAGTGAGACACCAGCTCCGTGAACGGATAGTCTTGGGGCAGGGCCTGGGGCGCCGGGATGTGGCACAGAGGTATTGCTCACAAACGTTCTTAAAATGCTTCAGGGAAGGAGGCTCGGGGTGGCTCAGTGTGATACGGTCGACTTGGAGGGCTGAGATCGGTGGAGTTGAGCCGTTGCAGACTGCTTTCCCGAATCCTAAGCCCGGCATTTGGATTTTGAATTGGATGTAGGGGTCCTGGGATCAGGTGGTAAACTCGAAGGAGAACTTCGGTCCTAAGCCTTACACTCGGAGCACCGCCCAGAGCCTACACCGGCCTACACTGTCATTTCTTGGACTGCTCCAAGGCTTCGGCAGCAGGTGACAGGAGGGGTCTGCAAAACAGCATCCGGCCGTAACAAGAGTAGGGCAAATCTGTCACTCTGGATATCCGAGATGCCTGTAGGTGCTACAGACCTTCAGAACTTTACTCTGAGGTCCACAACTCATCCTAGAGCGACAATGCCCACCACAAGAGCTTCAAGCGGCCGTTCGGAGGAGGGGAGTCAAGGCGGGCATCAGAGAGCCCCTTGGAGTTTAGAGCCCTTTGGTGCAAGGCCGGAGCTGCTGGGAGATCTAAGTTCGGGGCCCTCGCAACATCGTCCGCGAGCATGTTCAGCAAAGGAACCTGTGGGCAGCTACCGAAGCCTCAGCCTGAAAGTCCGACAATAGACCACAAGCGCTGCTTGGAACTAGGTTTCGCCGAACCCAGCATTGGCGCTCGATTGCTACATGTTGTGAAGAGTTTCAGGAGACCGATGACCATTGCGATGCCAGACATGCAGGTCTTGGTTTTAGGGTTCAGGCTTGGGTGTCCAGAGTTTAGGGCGCGGAAACCCTGAACCAGATTGAGCCCTCGCGCCTTGACTTGACCGCTGACTCTCAACACCGAAAACTAGACCTGAGATCCTCACGTGTGTTCTCGAAAAGGCAATCATCGTCTCCTATGCCAAAATGCCCTGATTTTTCCGGGCTTCTAAGGGGTTGCCCTAAACTGAAGGGCCCCACACGGCGAAGCCCTCCACCTGTCCTCAACCTCTCACCTCTTGGCCCCTTAAGGGCCGAAGTGAAGCCGAGACCTTCGTCTTCTCTGGACTCGAGACCCAAGAGTATTTCTGGGAATTAAAAAAAGGGGTGCCCTTTTTGGCTTTTTGGCTTAAAGAGGTTTTGTAAGGGAGACTTAGAGAGGGAATCAGGGCCTACGTCGTCTTGAAAAACCGAAAGATGTCCCCCCCGGGGCTGTGGCAAATCGAGAGGAATACAGCGAGGGCCTCGAGTGGCCACCGCGCAAGCCGAAAAACATATTAGGGGGGCTCTTGCTACAATGTTGAGGATTCCGCAAAACATTCTGCGCACAACATTCGGAATGGGCATTTTGGAGGTTGGAATGTAGTGAGGAGGGCTGAAGGCTTTCAAGCTTTGAGGGGTGACTGCGGGCTTTCTTTAAGGGTCTTCGTGGATTCGCCCAATGATTGCTCGGGTCGTCCTGCACAGCCCCGCCATCTGTGCGAAGCTGTGCAAAGCAGTCTGCCCAGGTCATGACAAAGATGTATGTCACACAAGCAGTTGCAGGACAACAACATTTGCCTTCTGAGGCTCTACGACAAACAGTTTTGGGATCTAGACTTACGGCTAGGACGGAAATGCAATCCTGCCAAAATGTGGAAAAGGGGCCATTCGCCGGCAATGATGGAAGTGCCCAGACCTTGCTTTGCACACTGACCCTGGAACCCCCCGGAACCCGCAAATTGCCGAGTCCCCGTCTGCATGGCGGCGAAGGTTCGGTACATGGTCGCCTGGTGGTCTTGAATCGATGTCAATGACTGAAGTTGCAAAGTTAGGCTGGTGTTCACACACGAGAGTCAGACCCCTGGAGTGCTTCAGGCTTCAGGATTGCTAGAATTCCCGATTTAAAGTACGGTTCAGGGTGCAATCTCAGAATGGCCTTTGTAAGGATGCGGGATTACCCGAAGCGTTGGCTGATAACCCCAAGTTCTTCACGTTGTCAAGCAGTGGCAAACATACTGAAGATCCAGAGCAGGCCGAGCTCTACCAAGTGAGGGCGTTCCCTGTTCTTGTTCTTCAAGGGCTCTGCGTAAACCTGGGACCTACACCGACAATTGAGAAGCCTGGCTTTGTGCACTCACCTGGAGCTTCAAGTACTTTAGCCCTCGGTGCCCCTGAGCATCCATGTCCGGAAGCCTAAACCCCCCAAAGGCGTGCGATCTATCGGGTTTTAGATGCTTTGGGGCGGAAGTTGCCCTGAAAGTCCCCTAAGACGAAGAGTTCCCTATGAGTGCCCGGAGAAGGGCAACATTGCACCGCTGGCACCCGAATCGAGAGGAGGATCTCCGGGATGTTGCAGTTCGCGGACATGGTGATGAGGTGCCGCTGCCCTGCAGGAGGATGCAATACATCCTGCTAAAGCTCTCGATAAACCGTCTAACGGCTTTTACCCGAAGTGCAGCGACCTCGAGCCTTCAGATCCTGACCACAAGAAGGGCAACACGGGATCGTGGCCTGCTAAGGCTTCTTCATTGCTTCTTGGGGGCTGTCAGTTCACTTTGAGTTCGACGCCGGCTTCCAGCAGGGGGCAGGGGTTAGGAACTCCAGCAAACTACCCGGAGAGGGTCGGGAAAGGGTGGGGTGTCCGGTGGGCCCGTTTGCTCCTACTGACATTGAAATCGACTCTTGGTCCTTAAATTATTTTCACTATCGCACGTAGGATTGCAAGCCATAAATCAAACCCCTCACAAGTCAAGGGGCCTGCGCCGTCATGTCACAAGCAGTTCAAAAACCCCACAAATCAACAATTTGGAGCAGGTTTGGTTGAATTGGGCACGGGATGCAGGGCAAGTAATACAACTAGCTGCTGAGGCTTGGTGGTGGTGCCAGCACACACACACACACAAAAAAAAAAAAAAAAAAACCTGTCGGCCCAAAAACGCAAGGATCACCCTGCAAAGCCCAGACACACTTGCAAAACTTGCGAATGTTTACCTATCCCTATACCACTCAACTCTTCCAGGGCAAACATGAACGTTTGTAAGTCTATTGGGGCGCCATGACACCCTCTTCAATTTGCGCCCTCACAACTGATTTGCACCGCGTGCCTGGCTGGCTTGGCTCCTGCCACACGATTGCTACGGGTACTTCGTTTGATGAACCTCTGGGGCTTCGGGTGCGGGACGGATCTTAGCCAAACAAATCAAACAAGCTGAGTGCTGGGACAGGCCGGCGCCTTGGCTTAACAGATTTCATTGAACAACACCCCCCCCCAAGAATCTCAGCACCATAAGGGCAGATTGAGAATGTTGCGGAAGAATCAAAGCACTCCACAAACCCAGAGCTCCCGCGGGTACTTGGCTCTGAAGCTGCTAGATGAAGGGTGCGGCCTGGGCAGGGCTGCGCCTCTTGGTTGGACTTGTACCGGCTTTAGCACTGCGGGGAAGATCTCATGGTGTAAGGTTTTGGGAGGTCATTGTTTTTTGGCTATCGGAAGATTAAGACCAAGAAGTCGATACACGCTGTATGCAATCATGTGCCCTTTGACCGCCTTCAGAGATGGTCTTGCAGGGCTTGGAGATGACAAGCACTCTCATGCAACTTACGACTTGCAAGCTTTGATGGTGATGCTGCTGCTGCTGCTGCTGATGATGATGATGACGACGATGATGATGATGATGACGATGATGATGATGACGATGATGATGACGATGATGATGAGGATGATGAGAAGGATGATGATGCCAATGATGCTGATGAGGAGGATGACACTGATGACTGACGGTTGTGGTGATGACGATACTCTTTGCCCTGCCCACCTCCGGTTAGGCTGTCGGACTCTGTAGTCCAAAGTACCCCAAGACCTTTAATACAACAAATCCTGAGGGCCAGGCAAAGCCACCACCAGCTGCGAGATGTTTGTCAGGAACACCACCAAGATCTTGTGAAGATGAGGCCTTAGGCTTGGAATCTCTCAGTTTTGCTACAGCTCCCACACACCTAAATGGTTCACCTGACTGCATGCCCCCCCCCACCCAAATCCGGGTTGCGGGCTGTGGAGATTTGCAGAAGCTGAAGCATGTAACTCGACTCTGCCAGCTACCAGAAGAGGGTCTTCAAGACCATGCCTATGGCATCCCTTAGAGCCTCGTGCCTCCGAAACCTGAGATATCTGAAGGCTCAAACCCACACTTTCACACTTCCGTCTGATCTCTGATCTCCTCTGATTCCTGCACTCCAAGCCACAAACAAAACCCTCTTAGACAGCTGGCAGCACCATTCAGCGGCTCCAAAAACCACTCCGAAGAAAGACTCCCCAGGTCTCCGGTCAGTGAGGTTAGCAGCGTGTCGCGCGAATGCCAAGTGAAGGCATAGAGGGAGCGCCTCGGGGGAAACACTGGGAAACCTAATCCCAAGAAGTTTCAAGGAGGTGGTGCCTTTAGGCTGTACAAGTGCAGTTGAGTCTACCTTTCATTGTTTGCTCTTTGGACGTTCGGCCGGGCCGTCATCCAGATGACCAACTGCAAGAATCTTGTAAAATTCTCAAGGCTCGCCACTCCAAAATTCTCGACTAACCTCATCCTCGTAAGCCCAAGAACAGTTTCAACTCCCTTCCAAGAACCATTGTATTGCTCCTCTACACTCTCGCTGGCCAAGTGACCCTCGTGCTCCTTCCCGACATTGGGGGTAGGCAAGCTGCAAGGCCCACAATGGAACATAAGAACCCTTAGCTGCCTTAGCTTCCCTCGTGTCACTCTAGCGCCCCAAGCCCGCGGCAGGGCGAAGAGCAAAGAGAGCAGTTCATCCCGACAAACGTTGGCGCCTTGAAAGAGAATGGTCGAGTTTAGCTAAAGTTTGGCCAACGTTTCGCAGATCTTTGTGGTTTAGGCTTGGCTTTGTCATCTCTGGTTTACCTTTTTGATCCGCAGACTGTTGACACCCGATCCTTCCTGTTCTTCTAATTCCCCGAACCTGCACTGCCCCATCCCCACTAATCTTAATACAAGAATACAAGAATAAAAGAATACAAGAATACAGGAATACGATGCTACAATACTACAATGATGGAATACTACAATGCTTCAAGGCTCCAAAACTACAATACTACAATGCCACAATACTACAAAACTGCAATGCTGCAATTCTACAGTACTACAAAGCTGCAATATTACAGCACGAATATAGTAGTATTAACAAAATATGGTGATCGGTTCGTGAAAGTATAAGGGAAAAATTGGAAAATTGGGAAGAAAGATAGTGGAATGATAGAATAATAGAATACTAGAATACTAGAATTATGGAATAAAGTCACGATAGAATCAGTTAAGTTGTTTAATCGAATAATGGAGTGATCGAATACGTCGAACGGTACCTTCTTAGAATCATCGCAAAATCGAATGAGAAAATATAACACTAAAATCATAGGACCGCATAGGACCGCAGAACAACAGAACAAATCATAATGTACATAATATCATAACATCAGAAAATCAAGACTAGCATCCTAACATCATAATGTCAACATAACATAAAGTCAATCTGTCATACTATCTTAACATCATAATGTCATAAGTATCGTAATGTCATGATATCATACTGTCAGAAAATCACAATATCAAATGTCAACACCACAATACCATAACATCATCATATCATAAGCTCAGAATACCAACGTAGCATCATGCCATATTATCATAGTATAACACTGCAAACAAATAGTATGAAATGTACACGTATAATCACATGAGCACACGATCATGCAATCATCAAATCTTGTGAGCATATGACCATAGCATGCAATGATTCAATCGTGTAAATCTTGCAACCTCACAAGCTCATAGTCAAAGAACCAGACAATCTCATGGGCATGTAATCATATAACCAGAAAATCGTAATTATATACATGGTAACATGCAAACATAGTAATCATGATAGCACATGCAAATATAATGACAATAGTCATAATACTCGTCATTGTAATCATAACTTTCCGAGGGGTCGGCTTGTGTCCGCTGTCGACAGCTCCTTCTTCGACTGGCTCGCGGAGACCTTGGGCCGAACTCAGCCCAACTCACCTCCTGAGCCCCCCCCTTGAGCCCCCTCCTTGAGCCCCCCCCCCTTGAGCCCCCCCTCCTTGAGCCCCCCCCTTGAGCCCCCCCTTTGAGCCCCCCCCTTGTGCACACTTTTTTTTGAGCGGAGAGGAGAGGCTTCAGCACAGCGCGGAAGGGTATTGGGGCTCAGCTTGGGGCTTTGGGCTTGGGCTTCGGGGCTTGGCATTCTAAGGCCAAGGCTTTGGAGTGGGGCGCTTGTAGTTGTTGGATTCAGAGTTTGGGTGTGGGCCTCCTTGCTTCACGCTTAACACGCCCACGGTTGTGATCAACACTCGAAGCCTGTAACCAGCTAGGATATCTGAATCGAACCCAAGCCCTGAATCCTCAACCTCGGGCTCCTAAACGCAAAGTGAAACATGTGTCCAACATGCAGGAAGGCTATTCACTGAGGCACGCACATGCTCCTGGTAAACTACCTGGTTCGCATTTGAACGTTCAGAGATTTCGTTGAAGACTGGATTGGGCTGGAGGTAGTGGAGAGTGGCTAGATAAAGCTTCCTGTTCAAACCTGAAGGCAATGAGGGATTCATCTTTGAAGAATGTAAGATTCCAAAACATTACCCTTTCTTACGTGTGTCATAGATGCTAGTCGATTTCGGGCGTAGTAAGCGCTCGCAGGATCATGACTCTTGAGGACCATAATGGGATAAAGCCACAGCAACCCATCAACTCTTACACTTCCAAGAAACTACCTGGAAAACTGAAGCTGACTCCCCGGAGGCTTTCTGGTGCTCGGGGGCAAAGCAAAACACGCAAAACACGCAAAACAGAACTTGAGCACTCAACCTTGGGATCTTCCCCCTTATACTAACCGGAACTATAGTACCCCCTACTACAATCACTATTCAGGACCTGTTAGTAGAAGGGGGAACATCCCAACCTCAACCCCCACAAGATCTGAAGAACATTCTGGGCCCACCTTGGCTCGGTCGACCGGTTTCTTGCCCAGAGCCTCAAGCTCTTCTCGGCATCACGTGCATGTGCGTGAGGGCAATTGCACTACCCCGCACGATAAAAGAAACAAACTAGAAGGTCAAAGAACCCCTGAACTCCCACAAATACCCCAAAACACTAACAACGTAGCCCGCACCTACAGAGCCTCAACCTAAATCACTTCATCGCTTCACGATCTCTGAGCACTTGGAGGCTTTGCGGTGTTGAGGTGGCTGTTAAGGCTTCTGGGGCTGTTCGGGCTGTTGAGGTTGCGGTCTGTTGAGGGTTCGGGATTTAGTTGAAGAGCTTCCCCCAGTTCAAAGCAGC